GGCCAAAGAACTTCTTTCCCAATTTTGAGTTTGCCACTTTACCCGTGAAGAACCCTGAAACCTTCACTACCCCAGAAAGGACCCCAGTTGCTACTTTCTCTGTCATCTTCGTCACTCTCTTGACCCTACAAGAATAACCAAACCATAACATTATCTTTTCCTCAATTTAAGGCCAATGAACCCCACATACCAATGTTTTCTCCATATAAACAATGAAGACAAAGCAATAAAAGAGCAAAACTGTCATTTATAGCGTCCTTTGTCCCAGTCAATATTTTGCTTTTAATCAATCAATTACAGAGAAGATCATATTAGGCCAGAATAGGTTAACTGGTCACCATCTTGGCTATCATGTAAAGGTCCTTGAAAATGTTTGGATGGGTAAATCAATTAAATTTCTAAATTAAGTATATTAGAAATCCAGCTTATGTTTATGTGCAGGAGCAGCAACGGTCAAAGTTGGACCCAAAAAGGCATTTTTTTTTTGGGGGTAAATGAAAAGGGCGTATTTGTTGCTATAAAAAAGTTGTGATATGTTACAAACTTTGCGCTTCTGCAAGGGAAGGATCAGACACTGAAAGATCTAGCTGCATTGGTAAGTTGGGGTCAGTTGGACATAGTATCCAAGAAGAGATGCTTAACTTAAATTGGGAGGAGGTCAATAAGCAGGTGGAGGCTCATAGGGAAACCTATTGCCGATACTAAGTAGCAGTCAAAAATTTGTATCCATTTTTCATGATATTATGCATGCATCAGATATATCATGGTGAATTCTTCAGAAAAAAAATGTGTCTTCCACAATGGAATCCGATAAGTGAGATTTCGAGTAAGAGTTTACATAATCTTCTTCTGTCCGCGATCAATTAGATTCTTGGATGAGCGGAACATCTTTGAGACAAATCATCTCTACCCGGCTACATAGCTTCACCCAAACCAATCCATGAATTGTTGACTCGCTTGAGAAAAGAGCTTTGTGGTTGGGAGCTCTGAGCCGATGAGCTATATCTAATCCTAGGATTAGAACTATGGTGTACTACTTCCCAATAATATATATATTTTAGTTTTGATATTTTAGGTCTTTCTCAGTGCAGATTAATACAAATTAGACATGAATAGGGAAAATAATGCATGGGTTAATACAAAACTGGTCACTACTACTCCATCTAAGAACTTTTAAATTATTTGTTATATTATGTATCTTTACCGATAATGAGGTGAGGGAAATGTCCCGAGTACCTATGCTAGGGCAGTGGGAAGCTAAATGTATGCCATAATTTGCAGCTGTCAGTATCTCTCTCATGCAGTTAGTGTTGTGGGTGCGTACATACGGATAATCTAAGGCGAACTAGAATGCAGCTAAGTGGATATTCAGGAACTTGAGAGGTAAGATGGATTCCAGAATCTTATTTTATACTGAGCTGTGAAGGGGACTCTGTGGTTAATCAATTCGGTCAAGGAATTAGGACTGAAGCAGGAAGACTTGGAGCTGAATTGCAATTGTCAAAGCACTTGGCAAGAGATCAAGTTTACCATGCCATTACAAACAGCAAACTTGACTTCTCTGTGCTTTGTGTGGTTCATTTCAATCACACATTAGATTCAAGGTTCATGATGGTAGGCATGTTCGCTTTTGGGAAGATTTATGGTGTGGAAATCAGTTGTTGTCTTATTCATTTCCAAGACTTTATAGTATTGCCGAAAATAAGCACGCTTACATAGTTGACTGTTATCGGCTTGATAGCAGTGGGGTTAAGTGGGATGTGCGTTTTAAGCGTTCTTTTCAGGATTGGGAGATGGAGAAAGCATGTGTTTTTTTGGATTTGTTGTATAGACAGAAGGATGTTGGCACAGGTTGCGACGATATTTTGTTGGTCCCTTCAACCCATGGTAGATATGGTGTTCAATCCATGTTCTTCTTGTGTTTGTCCAATTTCGTTGGTCACGATTTTCCATGGAAGTCTATATGGCGCTCTAAAGCTCCACTTAGAGTCGCATTCTTTGTTTGGACTGCCACTTGGGGAAAGATTTTGACGTTGGATAATTTGAGAAAGAGAGGTAATACCATTGTTAACTGGTGTTGTCTATGTAAAATAGATGGTGAGTCCGTGGATCAGATTCTTATGCCCTGCCCTGTGGCGTACGATTGTTGGAATCTCATCTTCAGCATCTTTGGCGTTCATTGGGTAATGCCTAAGCATTCCTTACAAATGATTAACGCATGGAGAAGATGCCCAGTCAAAGGTCATGCCCGTGATTATTGGAGGATAGTTCCACACTGTGTTTGGTGGTGTATATGGAGAGAGAGAAAAAACAGAAATTTTGAAGCAAATGAATCGTCTTTAGCAAATTTTAAAATTCATATTCTTCGTTCTCTTTTATGTTATGTAAGAGGAAGCGCTTGCTTCTCGAATGATGACTTATTTGATCTATTGGATTCTATTGGTCATTAGGTCCATTTTTCGTTTTTCTAATATATTTTTACTTATCAAAAAAAAAAAAAAAAAAATTTCAATTTTCTTGTAGTGAAGAAAAGCTCGGATCATGCATGTGGATGTAAAGAGGTATTTTAGCCGAACCCCGAGTAACAAATGGGAAATTCATGAATAGTTCGTCACCTTTGTCTTGTGTTTTTTGAATGGAAGACAAGAGCTAATACTTTGGACTATTTGGACACATACTTTGTGAAATGGTTCATACATCTTTGTTTTTAATGTTCATTTTAAGTGCTTTGATTTTATTTTGCTGATTATTTCAAGACTCAAACATAATCTAACACGGACATTAGACATAAAGGAAGAAACAAAAAAGCAATTTATAGCACATGTACAAACAGAAACATACAAATGTGAATTCTAGATAAAAACAAAAGCAAATCAACAACCAGAGAACAAAAAACAACAAAAAGACAAACCTTTTGATCCTCTTCAATGTATCTGGACTGACTTCCGACTTCTCACCGGGGTTCATCCTCTTCTTCAGAACCTCATTTCCCCATTTCAATCTCTCAATAGTCACATCACCACACCACAAAATCCCCTTGATCAGCTGCCCGGAGCCCGCTGCGATCATCTTCGCCGCAGTCCCACTGTATTCCTCCACATTGGGCGCCAACGTCGTCCAGTACGCCGCGCACCTCTCCTCCATCAACTCCTTATTCTTCTCCGATTTCAAGTCCGCCGGAGACAGCTCCCTCGCCACCGTTCCGTCCAACACCTCCGACTTCTCCTTCCCCTCCACCTTCTGCACCGAAAAACTACTATATTTCTCCAAAACTCCATCCAATTGTTTCAACAAACCCTCTTGCCCTTTCGACGCAATCGTCAATCCGTAATTCAACACATCATCCGAAACATACGAATCCGATTCTTTCTCTTTTGGGGCACAGAATGAGAAGAAGTAATGCGAATCGTCGAGCTTGACAACGGCCTCGTCCTTCGTCAGAGGCCATTGGATATCGCTGCCGACGCAGGCGATGACGGCGACGACGTTATCGCCTTGTCGGAGGCAAATTAGGGCGAAATCGCCGCAAGCGAGCTCGACGCTGTACTCTTTGTCGATCAGATGGAGGATCGATCCGGGGACGGTGATGAGGACCTCTTCGAGGGACACGGGAGGGGCGGAAGGGGAATTAGCGTTGGGGTTAGGGGCAGTTTCGTAATTTTCAGAGAATAGGTTGTCGACGAGGTCTTTCATGTCGAGTGTGGGGTAGAGAGAGGAAGATGTGTTAGTGGTAGGGTTAGGGTTAGGGTTTGGGAGAAATGAGGATGAGGTGTCTGGATGTGATTGGATCACGTCGGGGTACATTGGGGTTCGGACGTTAGGGTTTTGGCACGCCATTGTTGATCTGGCTTTTGCTTGAGAATTGAGAAGGGGGTGAAATTGAAGAGAATTGGAATTAAAATTTAATAAAATTGGAGTATGCGTGTCGCAATGAGGAGGCTACACGTGTGATAGAAGTTTTTTTTTATTTTCTGTATTGGGAACTTCGCGCGCAAGTACCGGTAAATAAATTGTTTCCGTGCTGTTTGACCAAAACTCCTTTCGTTTAAGGGAAAAATAAGATAACTTCCAAGAAAAATAAATTTGATAACAGAGTTTTTTTATTTTAAGTCTCGGACAAACGTTGTTGGACTGAGACGATACACATAGGAGTGTTTAGAGTTCACCTGTTTGTGCTATAACTTCACATTGTTGTGTATCGCCTAAGACCGAATTGGCAGGAATTTTTTTTTTTTATTTTTTTTTATCCTAACAAGAATTGATTAATTTTGAAAAATGGGACAAAAAGAGTAGTTCCTAAAACACTCTTAATTTTTTTTTTTTTTTTTCAATTTCTTCCCACTTTTAAGAATTGATCTTCAAGGAATTAGTAGCCACCTCATTCCCCTCCAAATCCTTTTTTTACTTCGCTCTTTTAAACAAACGCAAATTAAATTACCTCTTCGTTTTTTTTTTCTTTTCCTTTTTTTCCATCAATTCAAACAAATTTTTATTTTTTTATTATTATTAATTTTTTTTGCACTCGGAACTCCTGCCTAGGCAGGACCTTTTAGATCCATCCCAAGTTACAAATCGAGGGTGCTGCTACCAGTCCCACAACGACAATACCGTTAAATCAGGAATCATAATGAAATTATTAAGATTTGAAACCGAGAGATATCAGAACAGAATCCCTCACCTTACCACCATCACATGACCTAATTGTTAGTAAGACACAAGTTGAGAGTACAATCACAGTAGACTTGCTCTTTCACTTGCATAGATATTGGAATCAGTTTCTAGATTCTTAATTTATGGCTTACTTTCTTTTCTTTTCTTTTTTACCAAACTATTTTCTTATATTTATCATAGTAAACTAAAGTCAAATTTCCCTAGGATTCGTTATTCAGTCGAAAGAATATCAATTTGTCCACTTGCCAATATAAAATAAGTTATAGGTCATCATGCTACAGATATAATTCGATCCTCTCCCATAGCAAAATCTCAATTTGTACAAAAACTATGAAAAACATCAATTTTCATTTGAGTAAATAATATAATTAGAAAGATCCTTAATAAAATTATATATATATATATAATTAATTAGAAAGAAGGAAGAAAGTTCACATTATAATGAAGCAGTACAGAAATAAAATTCAATTGAAGCCCTATCCATGCAAACGGTCATTTATAAAGTCCTCCATAGGCATGTAATAACCACCATTCCAACCACAAAGGAGAACTACCTGTCCTGCAAGACAGAAGTTTTGCCATACAAAATTAGCTAAGCTTGAAAATCGACCGAGCAGTATTAAAAGATTGGCAAAGATGTGCGCGTCAAGTTGAAAGCGTTTTTGAAGTGTCCTACAGACAACAAAAGTTCGGGAAATTCAGAAATTGCACCTGTCGACATTGGACATCAAATCCACAGCATCATCACTTTTTGTCATCCTCATTTTTTTCCTTATCCTCCTCGTTCTTCTCCTGTTGGGACTATGGAAAAATTATATATCAATGTGCAATGAAATAAAAGTAGTTCACCAAGAAATGTTCATTTAAGCTTTTCGTGTAAATAATAATAGCTCTCAAATTTGTTTTAGACAAATTCCCAAGATGCCCACACAAGCCAATTGATTGATATCCCTCTTTTAACTCCATTTCTTATGGAATCCAACAAACTTGCTCCAACTATCATTGATTTAGATTGCAAGTGAAGCAGTGTCACTGAAAAAAATAAAAATGTTGAGAGAGTGCAAACAGAAACTGAGGAACCTAAATCAACCCAATTCAGAGCCACTCGTTAATTGTAAAATCTAGAATCTCAGTTGCACTCATCCACGTATCTAGAAGAATGGCTAAATGAATAGCTATAAATGAATCCCAAAAACACCCGAGTTTGAGAAAGCCATGTTGCCTGCCTGTGCGGGTTTTGGAGTCATGCTTTTGGACTTCAGACACAAAGTAAAACCCAAGTGCTCTTCATTGTAACCTACTTTAAGACTTTGACTGGCGGCTCTAATTTTCTCAGGACATAAATGCTCCTTACTATATTCTATAAATATCCAAAACCAATAATGGAATGGAGAGATTTTTTCCTTCTTTCTTCTTTGGTCCATAGGTGAAAATGGACTACACTCTGAAGTATTTCCTCCACCACACCCCCCCAACACACACACACACACACACACAAAATGGTGAATCTTAATTTGGCATATGACTAAGACAAGTATACTTGAAGAAATAAGAAGTCCACATAATATACATAATAATCCCAGGTGAAGACGGAATGGCCAAAAGTGATTTATGTAGCTGTCAACAAGTAGTTCAGATAATGCTGAAGCAGCAAGATGAAGCTGCTATATTTAACAAAATCTCCAAGGTTGGTTTTTCAACTTAAACCACAGACTGACAGACTCAAGGGTAAAAGTAAGGAAAGCACTTAATTTGTTCAGAAATAAGCGTAATCCAATTTTAATACTACTTCCGAAGAGTATTTTATTCATTCATTCACATATATTGCTTTCCGACATTACTCATTCTCAACTCTCACTTGTTACGCTCGTCACATAAAAAGTGCATATTCACTAACTTGCAAAACAATCATAACGGAAAATAAATTATCAGTATGTCATTTAATTCGAAAAGCAAAACCTATATAAGAACTCACCTCAGACTGACTCTGCATAGATGCGAGTAAATCTTTGACTGAAGGATCATTCGGATCAACCCCTGGAAGCTGTGAAAGCAACAACAAATGCATCATGAAATGAACACTCATAACACATTTTTTTTCTCGGAAGTTCCTTTTGTGTGTGTGGTGGGGGGCTATCATATATAAAGTTGAAAGAGGAGGTATAGTTTACATACCGAAGCAAGGATAGATGAAACAAAAGACTGGTCTGCCAACAGCTTGCTCATATCTGTCTGGCTTCCTTCATCTTTTGTACCTTCTTGCACAGACAACTGAAGAGCTGCATGTGCCACAAGAAGGGAAAAATATCAGCACAATCCAACAAGGATATCAGTAATGTTTAATTACTAATGCAGAAAATACTACATAGGTTAAGTCCTTTAAATTTAAGGCTATAAGTAGTAAGTTTCAGCGTCTGAAATTCACCTTGGTGGAGGCCATCCGGGAATGGGGGAAAAATCAGGTTTTTCACAGGCTATTTTTTTTAGCAGAGTTAGTTAAGGTCGCAGATGATTAGTTTAAGATTTTTTAACAATGGAGTAAGAAAACAGATTGACAATTTGTTTGCTATAAAAAAATAAAGAACATGTGTTTTATCATGCAAGTAAAAAAAAAAAAAAAAAAATACCCCTAGAGGTATTGGGCAATTACTACACTTTTCTCTGGAAATGCTTTTCTTTTGCCATTTTTGACCTTTTTGAGGATAAGAATAAGCTCTTCATCCTCATTTCATTTCCTTCCAATTCCTTCAATCCAAACGCATGAGTAGTTACTTTTGGTATTATTATAGTACTCTTTTAATGAAGTCATCATTTTCCTTGTAGCCAAATAGAGAAGATTCATTGTACAACAGAAGTGTACAATACAAAAGATACTGCACAATGCCCAGTATAAATAATCCTGATACCAAACACCAAAATATACAGTGACAGGAGATGCACCATAATCCATAATTAAGTCCATAAAGAAAATAGGACAAAAAATTTTGATACAAAAATAAGAAAATTAAAAAATTGTTCCGTTGAGATTCGAGATTCAACTTCCGGTACCATGAATTCAAAGCTGAGCTGATCAGAGGTTAATGCTTACTTTTCAATAGGCGGTGCACGGAGCCAAGCCTGCTAACTTAACCAATGCCACACCATGTACAAGAGCTAGCTAGACATTTAACATCGAGCTAGCGACCAAATTAACAACGATCATCTACTTGGAACTCTTAGCCGCCTTCATCTCAGCAGCAGTTTTTTTTGCAGCAGACTTGGCCAGGGTAGTAGGTTTGAGAACACTTTTTGGATTGAGTGCTTTTCGAATTTTAAAAACAGTCCATGCAGTCCCCACGGCATGTCCTGCAGCACCAAGCCCTTCATTTGTTGCCTTAGCTGCATCTTCACCGTACCTGCATCAGGACAAATTCCATCTTCCGAATTCATGTATTATAAATATTACAATTGCATAATCTCATATTGTACTATTATGTTAAGAAATGGAAATGGGTTGGATTAGTAGGGTATCTCATTCTATAATTCCCTTCTTGAGACAAGTGGTACTACACCTAAACCCCGTGTGTGGGTGCCAAGATGGTATCCAACTCTCGCGCATTAAGTTTAGGATGATGGGTTGGGGTTTGGATCAGCATAGGCAGCTATGTTAATTAATGTTAATCTACCAAGGTCACCATAAGCATGTCTGTGGTTTGGTGGTGCTTGATTGTCAAAAGATAGCTGAAGGTTTCGTAACTCCTTGTATACAAAATTACAAATAGGAAAGGACAGTCAAATTGGATTGGATTTTATATCTGGAACCAGACTTGATAAGAAACAAATCAAAAAGGGTGAGAACATCATTCTTAACTGCAACATGCAGAGAAAGGTGGGGATTGGGGTAAAAAAAAAAAGGGTTACCCAGTAGTGTGGTCCCGTTAATCGAGGGTGTTGGGAAGGGTGGACCAATTTTTTTTGCATTATTTGCCCAAAGTGGCTAACCTCAGAATTCAAACCTGAGTTTGAGCACAACATTTTATCCATGCACTAAGCATTTTACACCATAAAAATATTTTGTTGTTACCAAATCAGTTAAATTCTCTTAGTTAAATGGTGTCAATTAACCACACAAGATAACCTCCTATTTTCATTATTTTTTCTTCTTTTACTAGTGGAGTTATCTCCATTGATTGGCAAGACATGATGCTGAACCATGTGGATAGATCATCATCTCGAAAATTATAGTGGGGCGGGGGGTACTTATCTTTGATTTATTACTTCTATCATAATTTTGTTGCATAACAAAGGAGGAGTTTACCTGTGCGAGACAAGTCCGGTCGTCACAGTGGATGAGGTTGACATAACATTCTTTCCAGCTACTTCAACAGCATCACAGACCTTGCCTATTCACAAGAACAATTATGTTAGGAGGAAAATTTGTACGGCGATGAGGAAACCATGATGTAGGAAAATATGTATATTAACGTTGAAATGTGGTTCTTCAATAATCAAAAGGTTTGCTTAAAAAATAAATAAAAATAAAATGTTCAAAAGGTACTATTGTTGCTGTCTGGGTCATCGTTTGTTGCTCAAATTGCAGCTAATTCAGTAATCACCATTTTTAATCTTTTTAATTAAATACTTTTGCCGTGTAGCAAAGCCAATTCAATCATTTGACACAATAAAGTAGTTTTCATTTTCTCAAGAGAATGGAACGCCATGGAAAGCATGATGTGAGTGCTTCACAAACCACTGAAACGAACAAATCACTTAAAAGTCGACAGCTCATTAAAACAGCTACCTCTTTTGCAGCAAGTTTACTTGTACATATATAGCTTAAAACTAGGAAGATCAATGCAGCCTATGATAGGCTAACACCTAAAGCCTCAGTGTTGTCCTGTCACAAAGTCAGCTCCACAATTGAGAGGGACCCAAGAATGTCCATGTGAATGGAAACTACCACAAGAGGGAGATAGACTATGAACATTTGACATCTGTGGACAACCTTGGATACTCCCCTGATGAAAACAACCTATATCCGCTAAGACCTATGCAGGAAAAAGAACAATACACGGTTCACAAAATAATAACTGAAATATAAATGGAAGTAAGCAAATCTAAATTGAATGCAAGTGCCCATAAGTTTCAAAATATATAGCAGCAAATTAAAGCATGAATTCACTAAAATTTGGTCGACAACATCCAAAATGGAAATAAGCATATAACATTAAAGAGACTATCAACTTACTAAATCCATCCAAGGAAGCAAGGACAATTTCCCCTGGCAAGAGGCCAAAGAACTTCTTTCCCAATTTTGAGTTTGCCACTTTCCCCGTGAAGAACCCTGAAACCTTCACTACCCCAGAAAGGACCCCAGTTGCTACTTTCTCTGTCATCTTTGTCACTCTCTTGACCCTACAGGAATAACCAAACCATAACATTATCTTTTCCTCAATTTAAGGCCAATGAACCCGACATACCAACGTTTTCTCCATATAAACAATGAAGACAAAGCAATAAAAGAACAAAACTGTCATTTATGGTGTCCTTTGTCCCAGTCAATATATTCGCTTTATTTCAATCAATTACATAAAATCTAATTTGATAGGATTTAAAAGCAAGAAAGCTATTAGCGGTAAGTAATTTTATGCTTATAAAGTTATTCTCATTTTTTCTCGTAGTAGAGAAGATCATATTAGGCCAGACTAGGTTAACTGGTCACCATCTTCAGCTATCATGTAAAGGTCCTTGAAAATGTTTGGATGGGTAAATCAATTAATTTTCTAATTTAAGTATATTAGAAATCCAGCTTATGTTTAGTGCAGGAACAGCAACGGTCAAAGTTGGACCCAAAAAGGCTTTTTTTTTTGGGGTGGTAAATGAAAAGGGCATATTTGTTACTATAAAAAAGGTGTGAAATGTTATAAATTTTGTGCTTCTGCAAGGGAAGGATCAGACACTGAAAGATCCAGCTGCATTGGTAAGTTGGGGTCAGTTGGACATAGTATCCAATGAAGAAGATATGCTCAACTTAAAAAGGGAAGAGGTCAATAAGCAGGTAAAGGCTCATAGAGAGACACTCTCAGTGCAGGTTAATGCAAATTAGGCATAGTCCAATAGGGAAAATAATACATGGGTTAATACAAAACCGGTCACTACTACTCCATCTAAGCACTTTTAAAATATTTGTTATATTATGTATCTTTACAGATAATGAGGTGAGGGAAATGTCCTGAGTACGTATGCTAGTGCAGTGGGAAGCTAAATGTATGCCATAATTTGCAGTAGACAGTATCTCTCTCATGCAGTTAGTGTTGTGGGTGAGTACATATGGATAATCTAAGGAGAACTAGAATGCAGCTAATTGCATATTAAGGAACTTGAGAGTAAGATGGAATCCAGAATCTTATTTTTTACTGAGCTGTGAAGGACTTTGTGGTTAACCAATTCGATCAAGGAATTAGGACTGAAGCAGGAAGAGTTGGAGCTGAATTGCAATTGTCAAAGCACTTGGCAAGAGATCAAGTTTACCATGCCATTACAAACAGCAAACTTGACTTCTCTGTGCTTTGTATGGTTAATTTCAATTTTCTTGTAGCGAAGAAAAAGCTCGGATCATGCTTGTGGATGTAAGGAGGTATTTTAGCCGAACCCCAAGTAACAAATGGGAAATTCATGAATAGTTCATCACCTTTGTTTTGTGCTTTTTGACTGGAAGACCAAGACCTAATACTTTGGACTATTTGGACACATACTTTGTGAAATGGTTCATACATCTTTGTTTTTAATGTTCATTTTAAGTGCTTTGATTTTATTTTGTTTATTTTGCTGATTATTTCAAGACTCAACATAATCTAAAACGGACTTCAGACATAAAGGAAAAACAAACAAGCAATTTACAGCACGTGTACAAACAGAAACATACAAATGTGAATGTGAATTCTAGATAAAAACAAAAGCAAATCAACAACCAGAGAACAAAAAACAACAAAAAGACAAACCTTTTGATCCTCTTCAATGTGTCCGGACTGACTTCCGACTTCTCACCGGGTTTCATCCTCTTCTTCAGAACCTCATTTCCCCATTTCAATCTCTCAATAGTCACATCACCACACCACAAAATCCCCTTGATCAGCTGCCCGGAGCCCGCCGCGATCATCTTCGCCGCAGTCCCACTGTATTCCTCCACATTGGGCGCCAACGTCGTCCAGTACGCCGCGCACCTCTCCTCCATCAACTCCTTCTTCTCCTCCGACTTCAAGTCCGCCGGAGACAGCTCCCTCGCCACCGTTCCGTCCAACACCTCCGACTTCTCCTTCCCCTCCACCTTCTGCACCGAAAAACTACTATATTTCTCCAAAACTCCATCCAATTGCTTCAACAAACCCTCTTGCCCTTTCGACGCAATCGACAATCCGTAATTCAACACATCATCGGAGACATACGAATCCGATTCGCTCTCTTTTGGCGCGCAGAATGAGAAGAAGTAATGCGAGTCGTCGAGCTTGACAACGGCCTCGTCCTTCGTCAGAGGCCATTGGATCTCGCTGCCGACGCAGGCGATGACGGCGACGACGTTATCGGCTTGTCGGAGGCAAATTAGGGCGAAATCGCCGCAAGCGAGCTCGACGCTGTACTCTTTGTCGATCAGATGGAGGATCGATCCGGGGACGGTGATGAGGACCTCTTCGAGGGACACGGGAGGGGCGGAAGGGGAGTTAGCGTTGGGTTTAGGGGCAGTTTCGTAATTTTCAGGGAATAGGTTGTCGACGAGGTCTTTCATGTCGAGTGTGGGGTAGAGAGAGGAAGATGTGTTAGGGTTAGGGTTAGGGTTAGGGTTTGGGAGAAATGAGGATGAGGTGTCTGGATGTGATTGGATCACGTCGGGGTACATTGGGGTTCGGATGTTAGGGTTTTGGCACGCCATTGTTGATCTGGTTTTTGCTTGAGAATTGAGAGAGGGGGATGAAATTGAAGAGAATTGGAATTAAAATTTCATAAAATTGGAGTATGCGTGTCGCAATGAGGAGGCTACACGTGTAATAGAGTTTTTTTTAATTATCTGTATCCGGAACCTCCAAGAAAAATAAGATAACTTCCAAGAAAAATAAATTTGATAATTTTATTCTCTTCAGGTGGTTGAATAATTTAGAAGTTAAAACAACATTTAGCGTAGAACAGGACAAATGTTGGCAGAGTTTGAGTTTTTTTATTTGAAGTCTCGGACAAACGTTGTTGGACTGAGACGATACACGTAGGAGTGTTTAGAGTTCACCTGTTTATGCTAACTCTGATTAATGCAAAGTAAATTTTACTCGCTAAGATTTTTTGGAAGATTTGAATTTGGATATTGCAGAAATTGATTCATTTCTAATTTTGTTACAATGGTAGACTATTTTATTAGCATGAAATTGTAAAACCATATTCCTTTGGAGCTTCATTTATGCGGTGAGTGAATGGGTTCAAGCATGTGTTCAATACTCCTGGAATATCAATGACATGGTATCATTAATTGATTAAAAGTTAACACGTTGTAATAAGATCCACAAGTAAATGCATTTTTATTTTTGTGACAATATTTAATTGCTTGAAAAAAATGCATTTGAAAGTTAACATGCAGATTAAAAGATGAAAGACAGTGTTTATCAAAGTTAAGGTATTTATAAGACTTTTATCATTTTCTAGATTTTAACAAAAATGTATGAATCAGATGGTCTTCTTCAACTTCAACTGAACCCCCACATGGGTTCTTCAACCCCATCCCAACTAGATATTGTTATATCTTTTCACGAATAAAATTCATTTTATTATACACATCTCACATAATCACGACATTGTAAAATCTTCAACCCATGGGTCTATTGATGAATAAAAAAATCATACTATGATTCTTAACAACCTTTAATATTTAAATTCTTTAACACGTCCCATCACGTATGCCCTTTTAATTCAACACGTGTATTTAATTTTAGTTATCAAGGTTTGAATCAAGACTTTACTTGCTCTTATATCGTGTTAACAACTATCTACTCGAAAAACTTAAACGGTTAGACAATGTGCAATTTTAATATCTAATTCTTCTAACAATGATTAAAATTTTCCATTCAATTAAAATAGATCAAATGTTCTAGATAAAAAAGAATTATTTTCTTTCTCCTTTCACCAAATTACACTGTTGAATTTTTCATTCAATGAAAGCTCAGATCCCCCACTTATATATACTAGAAAAATCAACGTGCCATGCACGTGATGAGAAATGATTATTAATTATTATTATTATTATTATTTTTCAGAAACTGCTTTAGATTCTTTGTGCAGTATAATGAAGAATTCGGCAATTTTTTTTTCTTTCCTATGTAACATCTTAATATTAATAAACATGTTTGTTGTGTTAAATAATTAATTTTGTGACTTTAATAATTAGAGATATATTGAGTAGACTCATTGTGTACAAGAAAGAAAAAGAGATTAGTAAATTAGGATCAATTGAAATACGAAAGTTGCATTACTATAACTCCACTCCAAAGTTAGATTAAGAGAAAAAAGGATAAATCATCAATAATGACATCAATGGGCCATGAAGGTCTTACCTAACCCATGTGCCACTCTGTTGCATAATCTGGAACACCAAACCAGATAAAGACCCAAATTAACTTTCAACAGAAATTTCAAGTCTTCAACAACAATGGATCACATGTCTTGAGGGTAATTCCTCTCTTTTCTATCACCTTTCCAAATAAGCCAAGTAATAATTGAAAATTAATTAATTAATTACTATTATTATTATTTAAATGCAATCAAATTCAAACCACAAATTCTATTACAAACTTTAGATAATAAAGTTATAAGGATCTCCATAAACACCAGCATTAGAAAACTTGAGTAAGTCAACTAATAATTGAAAATTATTTATTGTTTTTTTTAAAAAAAGAAATGCAATCAAATTCAAACCACAAATTATATTACAAATTTTAGACAATAAAGTTAAAAAGTATCTCCATAAACTCCAACATTAGAAAACTTGAATTACTTTAAAAGTCTTTGATATAATGTTAGGTGTATGTGCCGGCTAATTGTCAAGAACCTAAACACACGCCTGTGAATCTAGCTCTTTTTAGTCATATCTAAATCTACACACTTGCATGCTAGGCATGAGAAATTTTATTTTATTTTATTTTATTTATTTATTTATTTATTTTTTTCATAATCCTAATTTTGGGTAGAAGAGGTGTTTAAATGTGAATGCAACTCCTTAATTGTTAAAACTTGGTATGAAACTTACATGGCCTGGTGTAAAATTTTCATTTATTATAATTAACTACACATGCCATGTCCAAAAATGTAAAATATGCTAACAATTTATAAATATAGATAAAAATGGCACAACTGTTGACTTTGATAATCAAAGATATATTAGTGAATTTGTTATATCTACTATCAATTATTTTTATTGAAAAATAAAATTTCAATTCTAATTTCATTAGAGAGATGATTTAATTTAATTACGTTACCATCAATGTGAAGAACTAAGGAGAATAGGAATTGGTTTAAAAGGTGTTTGAATGTAAAGCTAATTCTTTATCAACAATCTATCCAGTTTAAAAAAATATTAGTAATTTGTTTAGTTTACAAGGGTGTTAAAATGCATATAATACTTTCTCAAGTCCAATAGAAAGATATATATATATCTATATCTATACTATTATTAAATGTGTAAAGAGTTTCAGTGTTTCATATTTCAGTATTTCAGTATTTATTTATTATAATATAAAAAAATATTTATTAATTGATAAAAAGAGTTTCTATTAGAGAAGGATATATTCAAATAAAATAAAATAATCTCTATAAAACTCTACCACAAATTACTTATTTTATTTTTTATAAAACTCTACCACAAATTATCTATTTTATTTTTTATAAAACTCTATCACATATAACCTATATATATATTAGATCAGCCTTGTGGTGTGCATTTCTTTTCTCTTTATAATTGGTCTCGTAAGTTTTTTCTTTACTTTTTCTTTTTATAAGCATTATTATTATGTTATTTTACTTTCGTTTTATTTATTTATTTTTTTTTATTTCTAATTGATGTTTAGAAGTAGTTGATTTGTTTTATTTTTATTTTCTCTTTCTAATTGATGTTTCTAATAAATGTTTAGAAGTGGTTGATTTTTTTCTTCATTTTTTTATTTTTTTATTTTTTGGTTCATTCTTAATCTATTATTTTCTCTTGCTTTATTTATTTATTTTTTTTGCTTTCTAATTGATGTTTAGAAGTAGTTGGTTTGTTTTATTTAATTTTTCTCTTTCTAATTGATGTTTAGAAGTAGTTGATTTGGTAAGTTTACTTTGAATTGTGATTATTTTTCTTTTACTTTATTATTTTTTATTTTTGGTTCATTCATAATTTATAATTATTTTGAGTCATTATTGTCATTTATTTTTCTTTACTTTTTATTTTTCAAAAGTATCATTATTATTTTTTCTTTAGTTTTTATTTTTATTTTACTCTTTGTAAGTTTACTTTGGATTGTAATTTTTTTCTCCAGTTTTTATTCTTTATATATTATTTTGAGTCAAGTTTCAATGCTTTTTGATTTTCGGTTGTACTTGATTTTGAATTGAATTTGTTGTTGAAGATTTTTTATATGTTATTTTTTTTCAATTTTTATTATTTTTTTATTTTTGGTTCATTCTTATATCTATTATTTTGAGTAGGGTTTCAATGTTTTTTTATTTTCGGTTGGACTTAATTTTGAATTGATTTTGAATTACCTATTTATCTATTTATTATGAGTTTTTTAATAAAGAAAATCTAATTAGACAATAATTATTAATTTTCTTTTATGAATTAATAGAGTTTTTTTTGTTAATGCATAGTAAAATATTTAATAAATCAATTGGTGCATAAAATATTGAAATAAATCAATTGGTGCATAAATAATTAATTCACCGCATATTATCCTCGTACTTTTTTTTTTTTTTTTTTTTTTTTTTTTTTTTTTTTTTTTTTTTTTTTAACATCCTCATGATATTGGGCAGTGGATTAGGAGGCATAAGCATTGTCTCTCGATCCAATCCGCCTTCCTCTGGCCCCGACCTTTTTTTAAGTAATACATATACACACTAATAAGTTAACAACATTAAATATTAAAAGAAGTGCAATTGATAATTCAATTTCAAATTTGTTAACGTTGACACAAATCAATTACCAATTATAATTAAATAGGTAAAATAAAATAATTTCTCTAAAACTCTAACACAAATTACCTTTTATTATAAGTTTTTTTTACGAAAATCTAATTAGACAAGGGTATATTTAAAGAAAATAAAATCATTTTTTTATTTTATTTTTAATAAAACACAATAGACAAGGATATATTTAAAGAGTTTCTATAAACTCTAACACAAATTACCTATTTATTATAAATATTTTAATAAAAGAAAATCTAATTAGACAAAAAATTATTAATATAAAAAATACTTATTAATTGATATAGAAAATAAAATAATTTCTTTAAAACTCTGCCACAAATTATCTTTTATTATATGTTTTTCGATAAAAGGAAATTTAATTAAACAAGGATATACTTAAATAAAATAAAATAATTTCTTTAAAAGTCTTCCACAAATTACCCATTTTATTTTTATTAAAACTCTATCACATTAGAGAAGGATATATTTAAAGACTTTCTATAAAACTCTAACACAAATTACCTATTTATCTATTTATTATTTTGAGTTAAAATTAAAAAAAATCTAATTAGACAAGAATTATTAATATAAAAAAAATTATTAATTGATATATAAAATAAAATAATTTTTCTAGAATTCTAACACAAATTACCTTTTATTATAATTTTTTAATCAAAAGAAATCTAATTAGATAAGGATATATTTTTTAAAAAATAAAATAAGTTCTATTAAACTCTACCACAAATTACCTTCTTTTTTTTTTTTTTCCCCCCATAAAACTCTATCACA